CCCAGGCTCTATGATAGTACCTCAGTACAAATCCTACAAAATTACAGTGTTTGTATGGGATTAAGTTGCTATCCTAAAATTTGTCAGAAATACTTATGACAAGAGTCAATGAAACCTACTCTGCCATTAGTTCTTGTTGTCGTTAATGCTTACACAACGTTTTGTCATATTCTTCTTTGGCAATTTTTGATTGGCTTATGGGAACAATAGCCCGCAAGCAAATCTTTCCTCTGCTGAAGGTTTACTTTGGGCCAGTGATGTCCAGAAAACCACCTAGGGAGCCCACGATGAAGGTGATTTAGTACGGTGCCCAGGCCATTTAGGATTCTCTCCTTAGAGTTTCACGAAGTCTGCTGGATTCATTTATCTATTATGACCTATATTATCACAAACCTTTAAGTGGCTTTTAAGGACAACAACAAATAACTGCAGAGTAATTTTCATAGCTTTTAGGATCGTACCTTTATCCCACACAAACAGAGAAATTTTACAGGATTCGTATTGTGGTGCTATGAAAGAACCTGGGTTACCTGTGGTCCCGGTGATTGTTTTAACCTCCTTTGATGCAACAATCACTTCGCTCTGTCCTCATAGTAAATTCTTAAGATAGGCCCTTTTGGGAATTTAATCACACATAAAGAAACACAGGTCTATACCTTGGTCATGGAGAACTCTTAAACCTGAAGTTTCTCTCCCAGTACCTGCAGAATCACTGCTTGCACCTTGCTCATCTCTAGATTTGCCTGAAGGACAATAAAACAAAGAAACAATGTATTATTAATAATAAAAACAAAACAAAACAAACAAATTCAGTCATTTCTTATAAACCTGGCCATTTCCAATTTGCCTCAAGCCTCTGTTTTACGGTGAGGCAAAGTGCAAAGCCACTGCAGATATGAAAATGATTTTTCATTCTTATGCAAATAAAACTCGTTTTATAACAAAGGCATTGCACTTAGCCTCGTTTTGAAAGTGACTGTTTTTGGAACTCTATTAGAAATGATCATCCGTGTAATTATCCGTCGAATTTTCAGGTTTCAGGTTTCACCATCATATTGGACATTTATAGACTTAATTTAATTTCTAATTTATAAATATAATTTGCAGAGGACAGACGGCAAATTGTTGTTGCTCGAAATATCTAAGTGTAAAAAATAAAAATTCTATAAATGCCATAACTGTTCTTCAGTAAAAAATAAAAGGAGGGAGATTAACAAGAAATTAAAAGCTAATATATAATGTGTGCCTGATCAGAACTGTTTAGTTGTGAAAGGGTGACCTGGTCTGTCCTGTGTCCTTTAATTCTAAAAAAAGAAAAATAATTGGCTGCCCTTCTGGCCTCAGCACAGGGGATCGCCAAGCGGTTACTATATTCTCTCCAGCCTCTGAGGAGATTGGACAGCAGCTTGGAAGCTTTTACAAGTACAAAATCTCAAATATGGGCGTAGATAACAATTACTATTCACTGAAGTGGAGATGGCGAGTGATGGATATTTAGGAAGGTGCTTTGCGGCTCGTTAAATATCTCCACTGGCCACTGACACTGAGGTGAATAATAATGTTTTAGTATACACTAAAACAGTGAGATAATTGAGCACAATAATGATGGTTTTTAACTCATTTACTGCTACCAACGATTACAATTTTGGCGCGCAAATGACCGAATGGCCGTCGTGTTTTCCTGCCGACAAATAAAACTTTTGAGGGCATTTGTTTAGCTATTGTGGGGAAATTTCCTCCGAGGGAGTTATGAAACCAATCTCTTAAAAACTATTTATTTAGTTTTAAGTTTATTTATGAACATGCCAGCTAAATAAATTAATGCAAGACTTAATTTGTATTTGTAAACAAAGAAATTTTTCGCCGGTTTCATCAACAAATTCAAGTCAAACAGAAAAAAGTTTTACCTGTTAATACTTCCAAACCGAATTTCGTAACCTTCGTGTATTTCGGGAACAGCTTGTTTGATTATTTGTGAAATTTCTTTGTATATTACAGCAGCAAACCGGGAAACCATTGCTCGTAACTTATGCGAGTTTGGCATCGTTCACTCAGAGGAGATGGAGGTGAATCAGTGAATAGCACAGGATATCCTGACTTTGAGTAGCCATTATCAGAGGGCACGAAAAACACTTTCCACTGTTTAAGCATATACTAAAATGGTCTGCAGTATCTCACAAAATTTTAATTGAGTCTTGACTTCTTGGCATTTAGAATTGCAGTCTGAGAATCTTGAACTCACTTGTGATTTTGACCATCTCGGACTCTCAAATTTTGAAAAAAATTCAGGTATTGAAGTCTTTTGTAGAACTCTCAAGCAGCTATTGAAGTTTATACACAGTAACATTTATTTATTTATTAATATTTATTTCATACGTAGTTACTAAAACAAGGAATGACCTACAATGGCCTACAATGACCTACAATGACCTACAATGATCTACAATGACCTACAATGACCTACAATGATCTACAATGATCTACAATGAGCTACTATGAGCTGCTACGAGCTAAAATGAGTTAAAATAAGCCCTACAATGAGCTACAAAATGACAGACAATGATGTTTGTCGTGTGTCACGCTTGGACGTGACACTAGGCTCAAGGTATTAAATTGCCAAGCACATTTTGAAAAGGAAAAACAAAAATAAAGCCTGATCTCAGGTAACTTGAGAAACTTGAAAAAAAATTATTGCAATCACGTTTTTACCGGTAACACTATTATACCCTGTATTGACGGAAGTCATCCAGGCACTCCCTTAGTTGGCCTAGATGGGTATAGGCCGCTGAGCAGCATATGGATTTTACTATTTAGTGTTACAAACAGAGCATCTTGTTGGACCGGAAGCCACTTAAAGGGTCTTATGATGTCTTATACAGGCCAGGGTACTTAAATAAACAATTTTTCTCTTAAACAGGGTCAGAATTTGAAGGCTTCGTTTGTTCATCTATACCCGGACGTTCCCTGAAGATCCCCCGGGATCGACTGTTGGGGTGACTGTGTTTGTTTAATTTGTTTGAAAAAAAGACAACACAAAACACAACTAACGGGAAAGGTTGCAAGGGATGGTTTGGACAAAAGTCACAGTACTGTGACAATACACTGGCTCAAATCCTCAAATCTCAAATCCAAACTTGATTGTTGTCTAGAAAATTTGTTGGACTAGTTTGTAACATGGGAAAATAATCCAAAGGTTTTTTTGCGATTTTTTTTTCATTATCATCATACATGTATTATCACACTGTAAATTTATCTCCAAGCGTAATAAATAGAGATGCTGTCATCATTTGGGCTGTCATGCAGTAGACTAAACGCGTTACGTTTATGCACACGTCCCCTGATCTATTTTTTTTTGTCTTTTTCTAAAATCTTCATTTTAGCTTATTACAGGGATCTTAAGGGTATTTTCAGGTCCCCTCGTTTGGTCATTGTAGGTCATTGTAGGTCATTCCTTGTTTTAGTAACTACGTTATTTAATAAACTCTTTCAATCCGTGGATGGTTTTGCATTGTGGTTCTACGCGGTACACCACACAGAACACACACAAGAAAGTAATGGGCAAAATACTGGTGGCAGGGAAGTTCTGAAATCTAGGGGTAAGGGGACCAGGATATCTAGAGATTAGCTAGCCCTCCTGGAAGAAATGAAAGACTGCAATATCTTGTCCAAATACAATATCATATGCACGATTAATATTTATTTTACAGGTACATATATATGCAGAGATGGGTTGATCAGAAATAAATAATCTGCTGGATATACAATCTGGTCATGCTAAATACAACGGATTAAGTAAACTTAAAGAGTAAATAAAAGAGCAAAACAAAGGTTCCGGTCAAAAGGGTGGGAAGGAAAGTTACTGTTGTGAATGAACCAAAACCCTTTAAGAGAACTGGCAGGGAATTAATGGACGGTATATTGGCATAAAGAGGAGCGCATGTGATAATATGAATTGGTTTCTTAATTCTCCAAATATCGCAATAATAAGTTACAGTGCTTTTTGCCAAAGGAGAAGGATACATTGTAACTAATAATTACAATGTATCCTTATCCTTTGGCAGAAAGCATTGTAACTTATTATCGCGATATTTCTAGAATTAAGAAACCAATTAAATTCATATTATCACATGCTCATCATACACATGTGCTCCTCTTTGTGCCAGTTATACTGACTCCTTTAATTCCCAGCCAGTGAAGTATTGAACCACAAGTTACTGATCATTTTTTTTTCTTGGTACTTTGGACTAGCTACCAGTAGTATCTACAGTCACCTGGTACAAAAGCTTAAATTCAAATGTTGAACATTGTGTGACAAATTGAGATATGATATTTGTTACTTGTATATCAATATGTGTGCATTCATAGGACATAATCTCAGGCTAATTAACATCGGTTTATGCTACCATAAACCTGAACTATAAATTATTATTTTATAGTTAAGTTATTTCTGTTAACTGTGACCTCTATAAATATGCCACATATCTGTCGACTTTACAGCCCATTGGAGTCCCAGAGAGCACATTATTTGCAAACAAAGTGGTCAAATTCAAAAGTTAAAACTTGATAAGAAAAACACCAGACTCATGCTCACAGCCTAAGCTGTTTGATCATGCATGTTGATAATGTTTTGAACTTTTAAGAAAACTAATTGTTGTCTTAAGACTTTCCAGCTCTTTAAGGGTTTCAGTCTCAGGCTAGAATTTTCTTGAGGAGTCGGTAAGTAACATTCTCGCATTTGATAAAAACACAAAGTCACAATCTTAGATTTTAAAACCAGGGTCTCAAAATGTCACAAGTATCGGATTAGCCATTCTATACCCTGGGTAATGATTTGCAGTAGCTCAATTACAAACAAATGTGGACCACCAATCATTTGCATTACACAGGCAGAACACTGGCTATTGCATTAAAGGGCTTATAATCCTCAAGGTGGCCAGAGTAGAGAGGCTCCCTATAAATTCTCAAGATGCAATATATTTTTGCCATTTTAAAACACAGGTCTATACCTTGGTCATCGAAAACTCTTTTGCTTGAACCTGAAGCTTCACTCCGAGCACCAGAATCACTGCTTGCCCCTTGCTGATCTTTAGATTTGCCTTAAGAAAAAACAACAAACAAAAACATTTTATCATTACATGTTAAATCGCTCCTTATAAAATTTATAACCCATTATTTTGGCAAAATTCCTGCTTAGTTCATAGACTGAGCTGGGGCCAGGCTCCGTAGCTAGTGAGAGCGAATTAGGGCGAATAACAAGACGAGTGTGGTAAACTGGGGGTGGGGGGCGGGCACTGAGGAGGGGAAAGAGGGGCACTTATAATTCCCTATCACCCTACTGTTACCCCACTATGGCCAGCTTACTTTTTTTTGTGCGAGCCTGCGCCCAGACTACCTAACTAGTTTATAAAAATTATTAAGGCATTTCAACTGGTTTCAACTTCACAATAAACAGAAGGAATTTGTTCTATGTTCAATTGTTGTTAATCTGGTGATAATAAGGTCTTAATTTTCGTAATTAGCATAAAGGAAATTCTGAAAACTAAGATCCCTTCTTAACTGATGTGAGAGGTAAGCTACTGCTGTGTAATTGCCATGCACATATGCTACATTGAAATCGTGTTTCTGATTGGGTTGCTGTAAAACTCTGCACAGGCCCGGAACACCCATGGAACACCCTCAAAACACCCTGGAATACCCCTGATTGATCCCTGGGAAGACCTGGAACCCTCTGAAACACCCTAGAATGCAAAAACAAGACAAATAAAAGCTAAAAATTAAAAAACCAGCAATAAATCAATCAATGTGTTTTATGTTAATGGGAAAACAGAGATTGCCACTGGTCAGAAAAATCCCTTGTCATAAATTAACAACAAATAAGACTTCAGAATGTTTTAATTACGAAGTAATCCAAAGACTTCCCAGGATTTCTAGAAGTATTCTAGTCCCAAAAACTTTTGTTGATAATCCAAAGATTCTGAACACTTCATTGAATGTTTGCAGGCCATCATTTAGTATAAAAAATAATAATGAACAAATAAAATATTACATGGGGAAATATTAATGATATATATATAGTGGCCACATGGATAGACTTACACTCTTGTACTCGCCTACGCTATCACGTTCCCTTTTTACACCCCTCTGCATCTTTTTGGATCACAAAGTGACATTTGTAAACAGAATTCCTTGGCCAGCTAGTGCCTCCCCTTTCCCCTTGCTTAGGAAATTAAGACCCCTACATTGTTTCCTCTGACCTCTCTGATTTCACATACAAGTTTCATCTCCACAACACCTGAGTCCTTTAGTGGACACAAGGTTAAACATTCACCCCTGTCTGAAATCCTCCATAACCTCGTTATGACCTGCACTGTTTTGTGTCCTGGCACAGGTAACCCGGGCTCTCTGATAGTACCTCAGTACAAATGCTACAAAATTATAGTGTTTGTATGGGATTAAGTTGCCATCCTAACATTTGTAAGAAATACTTATTACGAAAAGTCAATGAAACCTAGTACTCTGCCATTAGTTCTTGTTGTCCTTAATGCTTACACAACGTTTCGTCATATTCTTCTTTGGCAATTTTTGATTGGCTTATGGGAACAATAGCCCGCAAGCAAATCTTTCCTCTGCTGAAGGTTTAATTTGGGCCAGTGATGTCCAGGAGGCCACCCAGGGCGCCCAAGATGAAGGTGATTTTGTACGGTACCGGCAGGCCATTTTGGATTCTCTTCTAAGAGTTTCACGAAGTCTGCTGGATTCATTCATCTATTATGACCTATATTATCACAAACCTTTGTGTGGGTTTTAAGGACAACAACAAATAACTGCAGAGTAATTTTCATAGATTTTAGGATCGTACCTTTACCCCACACAAAGACAGAAATTTTACAGGATTCATACTGTGGTGCTATGAAAGAACCTGGGTTACCTGTGGTCCCGGTGATTGTTTTAACCTCCTTTGATGCAACAATCACTTCGCTCTGTCCTCATAGTAAATTCTTAAGATGGGACCTTTTGGGAATTTAATCACACATAAAGAAACACAGGTCTGTACCTTGGTCATGGAGAACTCTTTTGCTTGAACCTGAAGTTTCTCTCCCAGTACCTGCAGAATCACTGCTTGCGCCTTGCTCATCTCTAGATTTGCCTGAAGAACAATAAAACAAACAAACAATTTATTATTAATAATAAAAACAAAACAAAACAAAAAACATTCAGTCATTTCTTATAAACCTGGCCATTTCTGAGTTGCCTCAAGCCTCTGTTTTAAAGTGAGGCAAAGTGCAAAGCCACTGCAGATATGAAAACGATTTTTCATTCTTACGCAAATAAAACTCGTTTTATAACAAAGGCATTGCACTTAGCCTCGTTTTGAAAGTGACTGTGTTTGGAACTCTATTAGAAATGATTATCCGTGTAATTATCCATCCAATCTTCAGGTTTCAGGTTTTCACCATCATATTAGACATTTATAGACTTACTTTAATTTCTAATTTATAAATATAATTTGGAGAGGACAGACTGCAAATTGCTGTTGTTCGAAATATCTAAAAGGGTAAAAAATAAAAAATCTATAAATGCCATAACTGTTTTTCAGTAAAAATAAAAGGAGGGAGATTAACAAGAAATTAAAAGCTAATATAATGTGTGCTTGATCAGAACTGGTTAGTTGTGAAAGGGTGACCCGGTCTGTCCTGTGTCCTTCAATTCTAAAAAAAGAAAAATAATTGGCTGCCCTTTCGGCCTCAGCACAGAAGATCCCGATGCGCTTACAATATTCTCTCCAGCCTCTGAGGAGATTGGACAGCAGCTTGGAAGCTTTTTGAAGTACAAAATCTCAAATATGGGGGTAGATAACAATTATTATTCACTGAAGTGGAGATGGCTAGTGATTGATATTTAGAAAACTGCTTTGCGGCTCTGTAAATATCCCCCCTCTAGCCTGACATTGAGGTGAATAATTGTATTAGTATAGACTAAAACAGTGAGATAATTGAGCACAAAAATGATGGTTTTTAACTCATTTACTGCTACCAACGATAACAATTTTGGCATGCAAATGACCGAATGGCAAATTTGTTTAGCTATTGTGGGAAATTTCTTCAGAGGGAGTTATGAAACCAATCTCTTAAAAACTATTTATTTAGTTTTAAGTTTATTTATGAACATGTCAGCTAAATAAATTAACGCAAGACTTAATTTGTATTTGTAAAGAAAAACCTTTTTCGCCGGTTTCATCAACAAATTCAAGTCAAACAGAAAACGTTTTACCTGTTAAAACTTCCAAACTGAATTTCGTAACCTTCATGTATTTCGGGAACAGCTTGTTTGATTATTTGTGAAATTTCGTTGTTTGTTACAGCAGCAAACCGGGAAACCATATTGCTAGTAACTTATGCAAGTTTGGTGTCACTCAGAGGAGATGGAGGTGAATCAGTGATCTGAATAGCACTGGATATCCTGACTTTGAGTAGCCATTATCAGAGCACATGAAAAACACTATCCACTGTTTAAGCATATACTAAAATCGTCTCCAGTATCTCACAAAATTTTAATTGACTCTTGACGTCTTGGCATTTAGAATTGCAGTCTGAGAATTTTGAACTCACTTATGATTTTGACCATCTCGGACTCTCAAATTTTGAAAATTCAGGTATTGAAGTCTTTTGTAAAACTCTCAAGTAGCTATTGAAGTTTATATACAGTAATATTTATTTATTTAAATAAATTTTATTTAATTAACTCTTTCGATCGGTGGATGGTTTCGCATTGTGGTTTTACGCGGTAGACCACAAAGAACGCACACAAGAAAGTAGTGGGCAAAATACTGGTGGCAGGGAAATTCTGAAATCTAGGGGTAAGGGGACCAGGATATCTAGAGATTACCTGGCCTTCCTGGAAGAAATGAAGGAATGCAATATCTTGTCCAAATACAATATCATATGCACAATTAATATTTCTTTTATAGGTAGATATATATGTCAAGATGGGTTGATCAGAAATAAATAATCTGCTGGATATACAATCTGGTCGTGCAAAAAACAGGGATTATTAGTAAACTTAAACAGTAAATAAAACAGCAAAACAAAGGTTCCGGTCAAAAGGGTGGGAAGGAAAGTTACTTTTTATGAACCAAAACCCCTTAAGAGAACTGGCTGGGAATTAAAGGACAGTATATTGGCATAAAGAGGAGCACATGTGCATGATGAGCATGTGACAATATGAATTGGTTCCTTAATTCTCCAAATATCGCAATAATAAGTTACAGTGCTTTTTGCCAAAGGAGAAGGATACATTGTAATAATTGTAATACTTATATTTCTCCTTTGGCAAAAAGCATTGTAACTTATTATCGTGATATTTCTAGAATTAAGAAACCAATTAAATTCATATTATCACATGCTCATCATGCACATGTGCTCCTCTTTACGCCAATTATACTGACTCCTTTAATTCCCAGCCCGTAAAGTATTGAACCACAAGTTACTGTTAATTTTTTTTCTTGGTACTTTGGACTAGCTACCGGTAGTATCTACAGTCACTTGGTACAAAAGCTTATATTCAAATGTTGAACATTGTGTGACAAATTGAGATATGATATTTGTTACTTATATATCAATATGTGTGCATTCCTAGGGCATAATTTCAGGCTAATTAACATCGGTTTATGCTACCATAAACCTGAACTATGAATTATTATTTTATTGTTATTAAGTTATTTCTGTTAACAGCTGTGACCTCTATAAATATGCCACATATCTGTCAACTTTACAGCCCATTGGAGTCCCAGAGAACACATTATTTGCAAACAAAGTGGTCAAATTCAAAAGTTAAAACCAGATAAGAAAAACACCATACTCCTGCTCACAGCCCAATTAAGCTGTTTGACCATGCATGACTGTTGATAATGTTTTGAACTTTTAAGAAAATTAATAATGTTGTCTTCAAACTTTCCAGCTCTTTAAGGGTTTCAGTCTCAGGCTAGAATTTTCTTGACGAGTCACTAAGTCTCATTCTCAGATTTCATAAAAACACAAAGTCACACTCTTAGATTTTAAAACCAGGGTCTCAAGGTGTCACAAGTATCGGAGTAATTGCCCCCACAGGGATTTCGCCCAGAAGGCGAAATGCCGCTCTGGTAACTCGCGCGTATATAAAGGAAAGTACTTACAGTTGAAAAATACAGTCATACAGTCAATAAAGAAAAAATCTCGATTTGCTCGAACAGGGGCCGCGAGGAATCGGTAGGTAATGATAACGTTTCTATTGTTTGCGCCCGCAAGTACGAAATGGTTAGGATAACGTAAAACACAAAAAATTCCGAAGGGACCACTTAGGTATATTTTGTGACATTAATTGTGCAGTCATACTTCGATACTCTTTTGGGTTACGTGTTATCAGTGACATTCTGTACGTGGAGCAGTTGTTATGAAAGTTATGGACCAAAAGACACTCGTTAAGCACAGATGAAGTTATAAGGTGCTATAACAGTATATATTTTAACACTAAGTGAGTTTGCCAGACACGAGTTCACAAATCTTTAATTGGAAACCTTGCCCGACACTCTTTCTCTTTCTTTGACCGGAATAAGACTCGGCCCCAAACAAGCAAGAAGAGTGAATGGTTCAACGGCTAGCTTATCACTAGCAGAACGATGGACGATTACAGAAATTTGCCGACCATCAAATTCTGCGCTGACGTATTCCCCGCTCACAGATGTCCTTCCGCTATAAAGTTTAAAATAAGACTAGAATGCGCGAGCGTGAATTGATCAAATGTCCTTTTAATTTCTAAGGCTTACTTTCCGGCAAATAAAATGAACTAAATGTCAAAAGTGAAATAGAAATAGCGAAAAATTAAACCCCTAATTAAATCTTTTCTTATGGTTTAGAATAAACTATTCTCGAAACTGAGAATCTTTTGATCAAAGCTGTGTAAATCGAACCGAAACCGGTACATGGAACCTTGCGTTTCCTGTATTAACTCACCTATTGTATGGAATATGTGTGAAAATCTTCATTATGAATCAGTATATTACAAAGAGCTACACAACAAGCGAGAATACCATTGACCGACAACATACAGAGCAGTAGGGGCAGCTGTAGTGTCAACTACTCCTAGTTATTCTATACCCTGGGTAATGATTTGCAGTAGCTCAATTACAAAAAGATGTGGACCACCAATCATTTGCATTACACAGGCAAAACACTGGCTATTGCATTTAAGGGCTACCCTCAAGGTGGCCAGAGTAGAGAGGTTCGCTATAAATTCTCAACATGCGATATATTTTTGCGATTTTAATCACTCTATAAAACACAGGTCTATACCTTGGTCATGGGAAACTCCTTTGCTTGAACCTGAAGCTTCACTCCCAGCACCAGGATCACTGCTTGCCCCTTGCTGATCTTTAGATTTGCCTTAAAAAAAACAACAAACAAAAACATTTAATCATTACATGTTAACTAAGAAAGTAGTGGGCAACATACTGGTGGCAGGGCAGTTCTGAAATCTAGGGGTAAGGGGACCAGGATATCTAGATATTAGCTAGCTTTTCTGGAAGAAATGAAGGAATGCAATATCTTGTCCAAATACAATATCATATGCACGATTAATATTTCTTTTATAGGTAGATATATATGTCGAGATGGGTTGATCAGAAATAAATAATCTGCTGGATATACAATCTGGTCGTGCAAAATACAGGGATTTTAAGTAAACTTAAACAGTAAATAAAAGAGCAAAACAAAGGTTCCGGTCAAAAGGGTGGGAAGGAAAGTTACTTTTTATGAACCAAAACCCTTTAAGAGAACTGGCTGGGAATTAAAGGACAGTATATTGGCATAAAGAGGAGCACATGTGCGTGACGAGCATGTGAGACAGATAGATAGATTAGATGATCTTTATTTTCTCCACGGTACAAAATTCGTCAGCTTTAAAAATGCCTAATACTAATATACTAAAAATATTTAAATAAAAAAAGCTGCTTTCCACGAATGCCGTGCCTTACAGTTCTTTGAGTAATCGTTTAAATTGCCCAAGGGACTCTGCTTCCCTTTAATTTACAAGGAAGACTGATCCAGAGAATGGCGCCACTATAGCTGAAGCTGTTTTTGTAATAGTTTGTGCACGGTAATGGAACATTGAGTTTATTTTCAGAGTCCCTTAGGTTATATGCGACTTCTCGCCTTTCAAATTTAGAACTAAGATCGTTTGGAGCCAACCCGTGCAGAGACCTGTAAACCATCGTAGCTCTTTGAATTTGTTGCTGGCAAGCTAGGTTTTTCCACCCTAGAAGTTTGAAAAGGTGACCAGCATCTACGTCATAGCCTGAGTAGGCCAAAACACGGGCTGCTCTGTTTTGTAGCTTTTGAACCTTATTCCGTAAAGTTATCCCACAGTTTTCCCAAACAATGTTGCAATAATCAAAGTGTGGCTGTATTAAAGCTTGATATATTAGTTGTAAGGTCACCTGAGGGACAAGGTGCCTTATTCGTTTTATGGCCCCAATACCAGAAGCGGCTTTCTTTGTTACTTTCTCGATATGGCCACTCCAATCAAGTCTGTCATCGATGGTCACTCCAAGTGATTTTGCAGTAGTGACCTGGCTAACTTGAAAATCATTAATTGCAAATGTCGGGGACTCTGTGAGAGTACTTAGCCTCTGCCTAGATCCGATAAGCATAAATTCGGTTTTAGTCATATTTAGAGTAAGTTTGTTTGCTCTCAGCCAATTGTGAACATTTTCTAAATCTTGATTTAGATGCAACTGAATATTGTCTGCATTATCACCTGCGTATGTAAGGTGGGTGTCATCAGCGTACATCCTCGGCTCACAATTTGAAAGACAGTTTGGAAGATCGTTGATGTATAACGGAAATAAAATCGTCCCCTGGGGAACACCACAACTTAATGAACAGCTTTGAGAGAGCAATCCGTTGATGGAGCACATTTGAGTACGATTCTCTAAATATGACTTAAACCATTGGTGCGCGTTACCATATATGCCGTAACTGCTTAATTTTGAAAAAAGGATCTCATGGTCAATTGTGTCGAAGGCCTTTTTGAGATCGAAGAAAACAACGGCGTTGATTTTACCGCGGTCAATATTATACGCCCAAGTGTCCGTGGCCTCGAGGAGAGCCGTGACAGTTGAGTGAATAGCACAAAAGCCTGATTGATATTTACAGATTATTTTATGCTCTTCTAGGTAGGCATATAATTGATCATAAATGATTCTTTCAAAGACCTTGGCCATAACTGAGATCACCGAAATTGGACGATAATTATTTAAGTCGTCCCGATCGCTTTGTTTCAAAAGTGGGGTGACCTTTGCACATTTCCAGTCATCCGGAAATGTGCCTTGACTTACTGACTGGTTAAAAATATCACGGATAGGAATGCAAATGAGATCTGCACATTCCCAAATGAGCCTAGCAGATATCTTGTCGAGGCCAGCTGTCTTTGATTTATTTAGATCACGATTCAAAAGTGAGAGAACTTTATTTGTACTGGTCGGATGGAGCTGAGACCGTTTATCTGTGCTAGTGAGGTACTTTTGATAGCCATCACTATTTGAGGAATCAATATTGCTGGCAAGTTCTGGACCGATAGTAGCAAAGTGATTATTAAATTGGTTCGACAGCACAGTTGGATTTGTTATTGATACTCCATTTACTTTCAGAGATGCCACCAATTTTTTCCCAGATTTTCGCAAAGTAAGTTCATTGATAGTCTGCCAGGACTTTTTAGAATCGCCCATATACTTGCTAAAACTATTTTGATAATAGGCTTGCTTGGCTAATCTGATTTCGCTATTTACTATATTGCGTTGTTTTTTAAAAAGTGACCAGTCATTTGAATCATTCGATTTACTTGCTTTAATCTTTAGAATATCCCGATCATGCATTCAATTCTTAAGCTCAGATGTAATCCATGGGGAGCTACGCGTGCGAACACGCATTGTTCTCAAGGGAGCATGCTTGTTAGCAATAGATAGAAACGAGCATTTCCATTGTAGCCATATTTCATTGGGATCAGATGAATTGCATATGTGATCCCAACAATGAGATGCAATATCGTTCCGAAAAATTATTCGATTAAATTTTCGAAAGTTTCTGTAGGTTATAGCATTGTGCCCACCAGATATTCCATTCACGGATAATTTTCGATAGGCAAAAACTATGCTATGATCGCTAATACTGATATGACGAACCCCCGAACACACAACTTTATCTGGACAATTGGTATAGATTACATCAATCAAAGTTGCAGAAGTCGGAGTTATTCTGGTTGGTTCAGTGATAAGTTGCTGTAGACCATAAATATCAGTGATACTCATTAATTTGCATGTATTATTGTCATATCGAGTAGCAATCATGTCGCAGTTAAGGTCTCCCATTAGAAAATATTCAAAATTTTCAAAATCGAGTTTCCCAATTAAAGTTTCAAGTGACAATATGAATTGGTTTCTTAATTCTCCAAATATCGCAATAATAAGTTAGAGTGCTTTTTGCCAAAGAAGAAGGATACATTGTGATAATTACAATGTATCCTTCTCCTTTGGCAAAAAGTATTGTAACTTATTATCGCAATATTTCTAGAATTAAGAAACCAATTAAATTCATATTATCACATGCTCATCATGCACATGTGCTCCTCTTTATGCCAATTATACTGACTCCTTTAATTCCGGGCCAGCCCGTAAAGTATTGAACCACAAGTTACTGTTAATTTTTTTTTCTTGGTACTTTAAACTAGCTACTCGTAGTATCCACAGTCACTTGGTACAAAAGCTTATATTCAAATGTTGAAAATTGTGTGACAAATCGAGATATGACATTTGTTACTTGAATATCAATATGTGTGCATTCATACGGCATAATCTCAGGCTAATTAACATCGGTTTATGCTACCATAAACCTGAACTACGAATTATTATTTTATAGTTATTAAGTTATTTCTGTTAACTGTGACCTCTATAAATATGCCACATATCTGTCAACTTTACAGCCCATTGGAGTCCCAAAGAGCACATTATTTGCAAACAAAGTGGTCAAATTCAAAAGTTAAAACTTGATAAGAAAAACACCAGACTCATGCTCACAGCCTAGCTGTTTGACTATGCATGTTGATAATGTTTTGAACTTTTAAGGAAATTAATTGTTGTCTTCAAACTTTCCAGCTCTTTAAGGGTTTCAGTCTTGGGTTAGAATTTTCTTGAGGAGTCACTAAGTCTCATTCTTGGATTTGATAAAAACACAAAGTCACACTTTTATATTTTAAAAACAGGGTCTCAAGGTGTCACAAGTATCGGATTAACCATTCTATACCCTGGGTAATGATTTGCAGTAGCTCAATTACAAAAAAATGTGGACCACCAATCATTTGCATTACGCAGGCAAAACACTGGCTATTGCATTTAAGGGCTATCCTCAAGGTGGCTAGAGTAGAGAGGTTCGCTATAAATTCTCATTAACATGCAATATATTTTTACAATTTTAATCACTATATAAAACACAGGTCTATACCTTGGCCATGGGAAACTCCTTTGCTTGAACCTGAAGCTTCACTCCCAGCACCAGGATCACTGCTTGCCCCTTGCTGATCTTTAGATTTGCCTTAAAAGAAAACAACAAACAAAAACATTTAATCATTACATGTTAAATTGCTCCTTATAAAATTTATAACCCATTATTTTGGCAAAATTCATGCTTAGTTCATAGCCTGAGCTGGGGCCAGGCTCCAACAGCTAGTGAGAGCGAATTCGGGTGAATAACAAGATGAGTGTGGTAAACTGGGGGTGGCAAGCGGGGACTGAGGAGGGGAAAGAGGGGCTCTTATATTTCCCTATCACCCTACTGTTACCCCACTATGGCCAGCTTCCCTTTTTTGTGCAAGCCTGCGCCCAGGCTACCCCGCTAGTTTATAAAGATTATTAAGGCATTCCAACTGGTTTCATCTTCACAATAAACAGAAGGAATTTGTTCTATGTTCAATTTTTGTTAATCTGCTGATGGGGTCTTAATTTTTGTAATTAGCATAAAGGAAATTCCGAAATCTAAGATCTCTTCTTAACTGATGTGAGAGGTAAGCTACTCCTGTGTAACTGCCATGCACATATGCTACATTGAAATCACATTTCTGATGGGGTGTCTGTAAAACTCTACACAGGCCTGGAACACCCATGGAACACCCTCAAAACACCCTGGAATACCCCTGATTGATCCCTGGGCAGACCTGGAACCCTCTGAAACACCCTAAAATACAAAAACAAGACAAATAAAAGCTAAAAATTAAAAAGCCAGCAATAAATCAATCAATGTGTTTTATGTTAATGCGAAAACAGAGATTGCCACTGGTCAGAAAAATCTCTTGTCAAAAATTAACAACAAATAAGACTTCAGAATGTTTTAATTACGAAGTAATCCAAAGACTTCCCAGGATT